GGGGTTTCACCATGTTGACCAGGCTGGTCTCGATCTCTTGACCTCGTGATCCACCCGCCTCGGCCTCCCAAAGTGCTGGGATTACAGGCTTGAGCCACCGCGCCTGGCCTTATTTTTATGTTATTCTTATTTTTATTCTAATATAGCTGTGTCTAAAGTAGCTATGTCTAAACAGCCATTTCAAAATTTCCTTTTTGGAACAGTGGAGCAGAAGACTAGATCACATGGCTTCCAAGTTTGAACCTTGTGTTCTTTCCAGTGTACCAAAAATGCAAAATAGAGCTTTCCAGCTTCTATTAAAACCCAAGGCTAGTAATGCTGGGTTTAGGTAACTTACTTTTTTTTAAGCCAGAAGTTAATTTTCTCTACTAGGGACTTGTAGGTAGGTAACTTTTGATGGTGATACGAAATTTCAGCTCAATAATGGAAAACTATAGCAATTTATCCGAAAATTAGGGCATAAAATCATAAACTAAGTTGTAACACAAAGCAACAATCTCCTTGCCATAAATGAATATATATTTATATTTGGATCTCACCTGGCTATGGGGATATAGAAACAGAAAAGGACTTGTTTTGTGTTCCCAAGGAGCAGCACACAGTAGGGTTGGTTGGGCATGAACACACCAGAGAAACAAGTGACAACATCCCAAGATCCTCAACTTATGCATTTGAGAGTGGGTGGGCTGAGCCAGGGAGCCTGAACAGCAGAGCTGCCCAGGCCTGGCAGCAGTGGCCAAGCCAGTGACTTGCCTTCTATATTTCCTTCCCCCTTTACCCTTGGCATCCTGCTAGTCTAATATCTATATGCTGGGAATGATAGAAAAACTAATGGACATAGAAATAATTAATGAAACCTCGGGTTTCAGCACTGGAAATGCCAAATTGCAGCTCTGTTTCTGTTAAGAAACAGACTGTGTCCATGAACTTGCATTTAGAGGCTTATAGGGCCTGTTGATTTATAAGTCAAGTGTTACTTGTTAAAGTCTTAAAAACTTCAAGGTCTTCATTTGAAGAGAGATGAATTTATAGAGGGAAAGGAGACAACCACACCAGAAGCCTCTTGCACATGTTGACCCCTTCCAGTCATTGACTACTGTGAGTGGTCGCCTTTGTTTCGATTTTCAAGTCAACTCTACATTTCTGGTAAACCACAAGGTAAAGGCTGGTCTCTGAGAAGCAGATGTTTTGCTGGTTTTGAGGCCTTGTGGCTTTCCATAGAGAAGTAACAGTACAGGCCACATGAAGCTTTTACTTCCTCTTTTTTTAAAGTGGGGCCGAGGGTGCTTTGCTCTTGATAGCATTGTATTTGATATACATTGACAGCTGTGGTGGGTTTGTATTCACCACCAGATGTCAAATTCATATTTCTGAAAGTAATTAGTTTGAGATACCTGTGAGACGTTCAAGTTGAGTGTTCCCAGTGGACTTGGACCATGGATTGATTTAGTTTTAGAAATACCAGTGAGAATTGTGATGGATATTTAGAGCCAGAGGAACAGTGGAGATCATATGGGGAGAGGGTGTAGCGAGCAGAAAGCCCTAGGACAAAGCTTTGGGGAGACGTCAGCATTTACAGGTTGAGTAGAGAATTAGGCCAAGTGGTACGAGCAAAACTAGGAGAGTTTGGCGTCTCGGAGTCAAGAAGTCAGCTCTGTTAGGAGAGTTCAGAATGAACCTTTCGGCTTTCAGCAGTGCTTTTCCACTGTGACCACCCTAGCATAGGCCCTTGTTATCTCATGGTTGGTCTCCCTTGTCCAGGTGTGGTGACTCACACCTGCAATGTCAACACTTTGGGAGGCCAAATCGGGAGGATTGCTTGAGGCCAGGAGTTTGAGACCAGCCTGGGCAATATAGCAAGACCTCATTTTTAATAAATAAATAAAATTTTTAAAAGGGGACAGAAAATGTGCTGAGCATTAACTGCCTAGTGCTATATGGAGGCACTAGGTATAAGATGTAGTTCTTTTCAGAGTTCATGGACTTTCTGGGTAAACAGGCCTTATACAAATAAATAAAACAAATGAGAGAGTAACTGGACATTTGGTTTCACTTGGGAGTAGGAGAGATTTTGAGGCTTGGGTTTGAGGTAAACTTAGAGGTACCTTACCCACACTCTGGAGTTGAGACAGAGGCCCCAGTTTGGGCCAGTTGGCATTATTGGATGTCTGGCTGGAAAGGTGGGCAGGGCCTGGAGGGTCTTGAATTCAGGGCTAAGGACAGTAAACACTGTCCTGCAGAGACCACCATGCTGTTCTTAGGTAGGGGCTGGGGCCAGAAAAGGGTGGGACTCAGGATGAAATCTATAGTTTTGAAAAATTCCTTGGCAGAGGCTTCTAAATGGCTGGATGGGGCAGATGGTTAATAGACTAGTTATTAGGAGAGAGAGAGAAAGGTCTGGCCTGGGACTGCCACTAGCATGGGCAGGAAAGTAGGGCATTGAAAGACCCTTCTTAGGAAGAATATTGAGGACTTGGATGATTTGATATTGGACCCGAGAAGAGGAAAGTACAGAGTCATAGAAAATGTTAACAGAAAAGAGTTACCTCTGTAGACACCTGCCTCTGTTTTACAGAATGTGGCAGTCAAGTACGTGGATTTGAGGGGGCTTAGTTTGAATTCTGGCTTTGTCTCTGAGGAGTTGATGTAGTTACCTGTCTGTGCCTCAGCTTCCTTGTCTGTGAAATGTGGATAATAATGATATTTCCTTCTTAGGTTGTAAAGATTTTGAATTAATATATTACAGGGTTCCTGGCATATAGTAGGTGCTCACTAACTACTGGTTGAATGGATGATGTTCCAAGGATTACATCATAATAAATGGAAGAAACAGGATCTGAATTTGTTTGTCCAATTCTACCACATTGCCTTGATGTTCCAGAGTCAGCCTTTCTCACATGCCGCCTTCATTGTGTAGGCCTATTCTACTGGATCTGTTAGGTGTCACTCGGCATCACGCCCACATTCAGATTGCATGGTCCTGGCATTCCACAGCCTGGCACACTCCAGATTGCCTGCCTCAAGTCTGTGTAGACTCTGTCTCCCATAACCCACCTCCCATTCTCCGCCTCTGACCTTCATGGAGGGCCCACCAAGCCACCTCCCACCTCTGTGACAGCCGCCCACCCCTCGTGATTTGGCTGATGTCACTGCCTTGGCGAAGGGATTCTGGACTACTACAGACCACTGCTGCCTTTTTGGGTCCCTCGCTGCACTGATGAGCTGCACCTCACTTATTTATGCTTGGCCAGATACATCCCAGAACGTTCCGTAATGACTTCACACATATTTATCTTAACCTGCAAAAATGAACCACAGTTCAATAAAGGTCCTTGGCAACCTTTATTATCTTCCTAGGCCCCTCTCAGTGCTAGATGCTCAGTAAATAGATAACTGAATACTTAAAGAATGGAATTAGAAGCAGGAATTCTGGTGACTGAGGTGGAGTTGCCAGTATTTCAGGTCCCCATCTCACACCTGGACTGTGTCACCAGCCTCTTTAACTGGTCTGTCCCTGATCTACACTTAGGCCATGCTGACACTGGCACAGTCCTCATCCAGCCTTTTCATGGAAAGCTGAAGCTTCAGCCTCTCTGCCAGCCTACAATTAGGAACTCTTCGGTGCAGCCTGAAGGGCTCTCTGCAAACCTGATCCTTGCCTGCCTCTTTCGCCTTATCTGCTGGCACTCCATTCTGCACACCCTGTCCTCCTTGCAGTTCCCAGAATGTTCTCTGTGCATTTCCTGGCTGACTTCTGCGGAAGCCCTGCTAGAGCCCACCTGGCAGGCTCAGGCTCTTCCTTGTCACTTCCTTTAAGACATCAGCAAGCAGAGTAAGTTGCTTCCTCCTCCAGGCTCCACCCACCACCCTTTGTTCCTCTGCTGTTTTTCTTGCAGGCCCTAGGATTGGTTTGTTTACCTGTCTGCCTTCCTGGGCAGACTGCAGCTCCTTGAGGGCAGGGCCATCTTTCTGCGCCTTCTCTCCCGTGGATATGCTTTGTGCACGCAGCCCAGGATGCCTGTTGATCATATAAACGCTACTTTTGTCAAGTAACAAAGGTCACTCCTCCTCACACTAGAAGGGAGCTTGCTCTTTTTATGTGCCTTGACAGATTTTTCCTTCAAACTGTATGAATTATATTGCAAATTGACAATGATGAGTCATATCTCAACAAGAGTGAAATTCAAAAACGCAAACCCTCCACTACTGGAATAGGAAGCTAAGTCTGGCCCTTCACTGAATCCGCCCGGCGGGTCTCGAACACAGGGAGTGGGAGGGACCCTCTACCCGGTGGGCAGGTGATTTATTGGCTGGGAAGCTTCCGTGGTGATTTAGTTGTGAAGCAGCGCCCTAGGAAGTGCAGGCTAATGCCTGGGCCGGGAGGGAGCGGCCGCCCACTATCGCGGGCCGGAAGGGACCGCGAGGGTGGGGGGGAATTCGGGCCAGCCCCCAGTTTCGCCGCTGAGGCGGGGCGGGGGCGGAGGGCGTGCGGCCGAGGTGCTGCCAACCTTGTCCATCCGGAGTGTGGGCTGGAGACCCAGCAGCCAGGGAAGGGCCCCAGCCCCATGGGCGCCCTCTCCCCGTGCTCGCCGCGGTAGGGAGGAAGTTTCTGTGCTTTGCTGCCTTGATGTTCTCCTGTCCGGAAGGAGGACACAAATTCCAGCACCTGGGGCCCTGGAGGCTCTGGCCGCAGGGCGGGGGTCGGCCTGGGGGAGGGTCCGTGGCCGGAGCGAGGGGCCCGGGCCGGCGGGCGGGAGTGCGGCGGCGATCCAGGCCGCCTTTTGCAGCCGCCCGCGGCCGCGCTGGGCTCTGCGCGCCGCGCTCCTGCCTCCTCCCCCGTCGGCGGCGGCCCCAGCCCCGCGCCCCCCGCGCCCCGCGCCGCGCGGCCCCGCCGCGGTCACACGCTGAGCCGCCCGCGGCCGCCTCCGCCCTGCGCTTTGTGGAGCCAGAGCCCAGTGACAGGCGGCGGCCTCTCGCCGTCCCGGACCCCGGGAGCTTACCTGTGGCTGCTGGAGTCGGCCGCGCCGGACCAGGCTGGGAGCCCCGAGGTGGGGGCTCGGAGCTGGGAGCTGCCCCCACTGAGGCGGGGAGGGGTGCTTGGGAGGCTTGGGACAAAGTGAAAGTCTCTGGGCTGGGGTTGGGAACGAGTCTGAGACTGCTGCAAAAATGGGGGGGTGCGGCAAAGGGCGTCGGGAGGGCAGAAGGGGTGCTAGTTATTCTCTGGTGGTTTGGAGTGGCTTTTAGTGACGGATGGCGGGGCAGGCTGGCTGGGATTCAGGCTCCCGGTGGGCTTCTGCGATACCGGTGCCTTCCGGTACCTCCTGGCGAATTCCTCGGATTAAGGAAAGCGGCCTTTTAACCCCCTAGGGTTCCCTTCGGGAGAAGAGTCACCAGGTTTGGTTCTATTCCCCCTTTCTGCTCTACACTTCTGGGAAGCTTGGTTCTCAGGTGGGAGAGCAGTTGTGTTTTATTAAAACATGGAGCATATTTATTTTTACCTTCGTGCACCAGAATGTGCCTGGTGGCAGAGGGAACAGATTGCTTCTTAGTCTCAGACGCAGGACGTCCTTCTCTTACGGGCACTGCCCAGCTTGGTGGGTGGGATTGGGGTTCTGATGAAGGTAGTCTGGGCCTGCCCTGGCCAGTGGGTCTCAGCTGAGCTGCTGACATTCTCCCAGCCTCGTCAGTATTCCCTAGCCGAGAGTTTTTTGTGTGGTTGTTATTCTGCTGATTGTAGATGTCTTTGCTTTGCTGACATCCTGTTTTGTTTTTGGTTTTTACATCCCATTTGTTTCTTTTTATCACAGAAACGCTTCGTTAAGGGACTCAGGCAGTACGGGAAGAACTTCTTCAGAATTAGAAAGGAGCTGCTTCCCAATAAGGAAACAGTGAGTACAATTGGACTTTATGTAACTTGATTTTTTCCTCTTTGCTCCTGCTGCTTCTCCACATTTGATCTTATGAAATGGTTTCCTTTAACCCTGCGCTGTGCTCAGTCTCGGGCTAGCCTCCAGAATTCTCTCGGTTTTACTCCCTGACTTTTAATTTGAGTTCATGATTTTAGATAGTAAAGTGACAGATTATGCTTATCCGCCTGAAGAACATAGACTTCTGTTGTAACTCTAAGAACAGAAAGGTCTTTGGGAACAGAGGGTTAGTTGTGGGGGAGGGATTGTTGGAGAGTTAACATCTAATTTTAAACACAGTGGCTGAAATAGGAAATAGCATTTATCACTAGTTTGAGTTTGGTAATTGGCACAAGTCATCAAACCAGAGGTTTGTAGCTTATTGTACTTTGAGTTCTGTGGGGACTTTTTCCGTTTTTAAATGTTGCTCTGTTTTGAAGAGTAGTTTTTAACTCTTTAATATTCTGGCCATAAAAGTTTGCACTTTCCACTGAACAGATACACGAGGAGATCTTATACGTTGTTTAAAAGGAGCTTTACAAAAAATTACCTTGTATTTCACAAAGCTTGGGGAGGGGGCAGAGCTGACAAACACTCCCCATAAACGTGAGATAGAAGGATTTGCTGAGGAAAATCCAGAGTGAAATTATATAAAGATAATGCTGGGAAGGGGTTCATTCTCATTTCCCTATAGTTGCCTCCTTCCGGTAGTGTTGAGGCAGGTGGAGAGAGAGGCGTCCCTCTGGCTAGGCCAAGGGATGGGGCAGATGGCATGGAGTTGGACCAGCCACTCCACTGACTGAGGGCCACGGGAGGACTCAGTAACCAGAAATGCTCTTCAGGACTTTGGGAGGAGCCATCCAAGTTTAATCTGCCTAGACATTGAGCTGCTTTTTTAGGGAGTGGAGGTGGAGATGGATGGAAGAATATCTACTAGAAAAGCTGGGGCTGGAGGGAATTTGGGGTTTTTTTTTTTTTTTTGGCTTAGTTTTTAAATTGAGTGCTGTTACTGATTTCCTCTTGCTTAATTTTGTCTTTTTTAAAATGAGCTGTTTTTCTGGACACTTTTAGTATATAGTACTTCAAGAACAGTGATAACTCATGGGGAAGAAAGGTTTTGTGATTTCGAGTATAGTCTTGTATATATAAATGGATGATTTGTATCAGCCAATGACAAATTTATTATGCATCTCACGTGCTAGGATGGATCATATTGAGAATGGTAAAAAACAGAGAGAGGAAAACCTGTTTATAAACATTAAACCAAGATGTATTATGAAGTCAATCTATATAATCAACGTATTTCTTACCCTTCCCAGAACAGGTTATATAGTTATTTAGTATGGAATATTTAAATATGTATTTTAAGTTTTGGGGTGAATTCAATGATTTGAAGTTTGATATGATTAAAAATTAAAATGCCTTTGCCTGAGTGTAGTAGGTTTGGTTTGGTTCAGTAAAAAAGAGATCAGTGAGTGGATTTCCCCTGAATATGTGATTGTCCAGATTGTAGCCTCTCAACTTACGTTGTCTTTGCTTTGCTAAAAGTTGCAAACCATGAAGAATTTAATACAGAAATCTCTTGACAGTTATTTCATATTTCTGTTTTAAAAAGTAAACTTATAATTGCAAGATTAAGCATTACATCTAAAATCTACCATCTGGCATTTGGAAATGCCGGGTAATTTTATGTAGTGTTTTATCTTCGTAGTGAAAGCAGATTTGAGTAACCTTTAACCTAGGTAGGCTGTTTTACTTTTTTTTCTTTTTGCTCTTGATTGTCCCTTCTTATTGATGACGTGTGATTCAGTAAATAAATAGCCTTTTTTCTCCTTTAGAGACGTTCTCAGTACACCAACCTTTTGAGCTAGTTCTCTGGTTATTTTTTCCAGCAGCCTCTTTCCTGAGACCTTTCCCCATCACTCCTCCACCTTCACAGTTTCCCACCTTCTCCTCCCTTCTGTGGCACCCAGCAGTCTTCCTATTTTCAAACTCTTCATCAGTCACCATCATCGGAACGAATGGGAGAGTTGTTTGCAGCAATGGGGAGGATTTATTGTTCCTGACATTTGCTAAATATTCATAGTGTCCTTGCTGTCTTTTGCATTGCAATGGAGGAATTTGGTAGTAGGTTAAATGTGTAAGTATTGTAATGAACTGGGAGAGGCACTCATCTTGTATTTTCTTATTCTCTCTAGTTATCAACATAGTCAAGCTAATCATTCACAGCCCACAGGGAGAGGAGGGCAGAGGTCATTTTTTACTTTTTACTGCAGAAGATAAGATTTGCATCTACCACTGTTCTTGGTTCAAAACTTGCTGGGTAGAATTCTTATGATCATGCTCCTTTTTACAGCAGAGCCCTCTAATCTAGATACTTTTCACATTCTCTTTCTCTCTTTTTTTTTTTTTTTAATGGGACAAGATCTAGCTCTGTTGCCCAGGCTGGTCTCAAACTCCTGGGCTCAGGTGATCCTCCCCACGCTACTATGCCTGAATTACATTTTCTTCTGTCTACAAGAATTTTTTTTTTTTTTGGAGACAGAGTCTTACTCTGTCACCAGGCGCCAGGCTGGAGTGCAATGGCACAATCTCGGCTCACTGCAACCTCCACCTCCCGGATTCAGGCAATTCTCCTGTCTCAGCTTCCTGAGTAACTGGGACTACAGGCGCACGCCACCACGCCCAGCTAATTTTTGTATTTTTAGTAGAGATGGGGTTTCACCATGTTAGTCAGGATGGTCTCGATCTCTTGACCTCATGATCCGCCCACCTCGGCCTCCCAAAGTGCTGGGATTACAGGCTTGAACCACTGCACCCAACCCTGTCTACAAGAATTATTAACTAATGTCTTTGCCATTCTCAAGTGACTTGAAACATCAGAAGGGTGTCAGCATCCAAAATAACATGCCTGATTGGGCTTGATGCAAGGGTCAGCAGACCTGTGTTCTATTCTTGGCCTTATGGTAACTATAGTACTTGATGATCTCTTTTTAACCGTGCAGCCTGCTTTGAGCTGTTCTTTGGAAAGCTTGGGTCAAATCTTGACAACACTGGAAAATTATTTTCTGTAAAATGGTGTTTCTTTGCTTGAGAATTTTGTAGGTGCTGCGGTCTTTATAAAATGCCTATACATGATTACTTGTTGCAGTGCCTGAGAACGAAGTGATGGCTGTTGCCTCCTCTGCTGCTTACTTGCTCTGGGACCTTAAGCAGATTATTCATCCCCTCTGTCCTTTAATTTCTGTGTTTGTGAAATAGGGTGATAATTCCTACCCCTTGGATTATTTTGAGAATTTAAACGAGCTAATGTCTGTAAGGAGTGCATAAAAATACTTGAAAATCATTGTTCTTCCTATCTACCTTAAACACTACATAAGGTAGCTAAATACTTTGAAGAGCACAGGATGACATTCTGCTTGTAAATATACTGAGCCTGTATAAAAAGAAATTACCTGATTTTCATTAATCTATCTTGCCAAAAACTCTTAATTGAAAAAACCAGGAGCAGGTGGAGGGGAATGCCTAGTTAACCTCTGTCTTGAAGCTTTGTTGACTCCCATTCTCACCAGTTCATTCATGCAGTTATAGCAGAGAAGAGTTCCTGGTGGGCATAGACATAAACAGCTTTCCTAGCTCTTTTGGTTTCTGGGGTTTATTACACAGGAGCTAAATCTGGCTTTTCTCTGAACACTGCTACCCACTGAAGTGGGAATAGTGGCTGTGATTGCGGAAAACCCAGCTGTTTATAGAGGCTTAGTTGAATGGGTATTACGTGTTAACCTCAGGGTACCTAAGAGAATATGTCAAATCTTTTAGTATTGTGGTTGTGCAAATATCCTGTAGTTTGTTATACTTTTCCCCATTCTCTCTTTCTCTATAACCATTTACCTTCGCTCAATATGCTTATAAAATATATAATTAGTAGGTGAAATGTAGTCAGGAACATGGGCGGAGCATTTCAGATTCACCTTGGTTGTGTACCTCTTCCCTCTCAAGCCACTGTTTGTCATAAACCACATCAGAGTCTTATGTGTTCATATATTTGTACAAATCACAGGGCATCTGCTCTCTGAACTTTTGGGAGGACAGTGGAAAACTAGGCCTCTTGATTCAGCTTTGAGCCCTGCCACTAACTGTTGGGTAGATAGATTACATGACCTTTGATGTTAAGGTAATGCCTGAAAAACTAGGAGACCTGATAGAGAATTGTAATGGATGATCCAAAAATAATTTTTTATTTGATTTGTCTATACATCGCAGTCTTCTTCTAAATCATAAGATAATTTTCAGACAATGGTGACATATCTCTTCTCTAAGGACATGTCTGTTATTTGAACCAAAGACTTTTTGTGTCTGGCACCTGGATAATTGTCCCTTGAATCCTGGCCTTTGTTTATAGCTGTGTCTCCTATTACTTAGATAAATTCAGCTAGCACTGGATTAGAGTCCAGGAGCACTTCTTCAGTGACCTGGCATTGCTTGTCTCCGATGCAACTAAGATTGGTGAGAAGACAGTTGGATCTGCCCCAGCTTGGTAGTCAAGAGGTGCTGTCAAAGTGTTAGCCTCTGGAGGGAGATGGAAGGTGAAAGGGGACATGCTTTGTCTATCTTTCTCATCTCTTTCCTTTTATTTTTGAGCACTTAGCCCAGTAAAAATTAAGCTCATGTCATTTGTAATCCCAGTTGGTGGTGCATTGATATTTACTATAGCAGAAACTCATTTTCATTCACTTCCCATTATCAGAACTAAATATTGCATATAGTTCAACTTTTTAAAGTTCTGGGTACCCACTGAGCACTACAATGGGTAGGGTATCTAAAGAGAAGCAAGGTGCCATCCCTGCCCTGCAGGGAGCCAGCATGACATTTATATACCTGCCATGCTTGGTAGAATGTGCTGAGGGCCCTGGTGGGTGGAGGTTCAGGCCCCACAAAGTAAGCACAGAGGCTCCTAGAAGTCTAATTGGAGGGGTGGTATT